AGGACATTGAAAATTTCAATTAAAATATTCAGCAGGGATATAATCTATACAGTCAGCCTTCTCGCATAGAAACGAATGTATAGAATATGTGCCTAAGACTTGAAAAAAGCATTTTCAGTAGAGTTGAATTAGAATGTTTTTGGCATGTAGGTATCCCTGAAAGGCAAATGAACAATGGCTGCCATAAGCATAGCTGTATGACTTCTCAGTTATTTTCTTTTCATGTCCTTTGTAGTCTCAGACCTATACAGCAAGATCTTCAAATTTCATAAAGCTGTTTAATTGCTCGTTTTGCCAATCCAAGAGAAATTTATAAACTGTGACTTCCCTTGAAAGGGCAGAACCTTTTAAGTAAGCACTTTAAACTTTGGGTTATAGGTGAAGTTTGTTCAAGTTGTTCTGTGGAAACTGTACCAATCCAAATTAAATATTTTAATACTCTTCAGGGTCTGAGGATTCTGCTGCCTCTCAGGAAAATGAACTAAGCATCCACAGTCAAAATCCAAAGGTATTTTTGCAAAATTGTAGTTGAAATCAAAACCTCAAAGTAGATTCCGAAAGTATCCTAAGGAAGCCATGTTACTGATGTTAACTAACCTATTCTGTTTACTTTGCTGTCAAGCACACAAAATGAAAGTTACACTGTGCAAGTGTGAAGGTTTCTTACATAGAACAGCCAGTACCACAGAAGTACCCACACAAAAAAGAGGATTGTGCAAAGCTCTACACTTCTATCTATTAGACTACTGTATTTGCCTAAGACATCAAGTTCATAGCCAAGTTGAAGGTTATCTAAGATCCTATCCTATATTTTATACACATGATCAATCATTTTAATAAAACAAAACACCCATATGCCATGTATTTTTAAACCCCTGAAAAATCTTAGCTGATAGAGTACCTTGACCTCTCAATACTGATCCTCTGCAATTGCAATACAGCCACCTTTCTGTGTCTCCAATCAAACTAGGGTAGGGCTATGTAAAAAACTATAAAAATCCTTTTCATTTTGCAAAATGAATTCTCATTTAAGAAATTATGTCCTAAATGAGAGAAAATCCCTTAAAATAAATGGCATGTACTTCTGTCAGCAGTATTTGAGCTTTCCTAAGCATCAGAATGTCTCTGTAGCTTCTATTCCAGACTGCATGAGTTGTAACACTACATTGTCACTATACATCTGTCTCTTTTAGAGATCTGAATACATATCAGAGAGATACAAATACTAACTAATGGTTTCTGGCTATCCTTGATTAAACCTAATCAAATATTCCTGTTAATTCCATTCATATCTCATTTAATTCTGGAAAAAGACTATCCACACCTGAAGTTAAGAGAGGACAGTTAATCAGCATTAATGTCAGGCCTTAACAGGTTCTGAAATAACTCTCCCAAGACACAAGATTGTTATGAGATCATATAATGAAAGTCTTTATGGTAGAGCATAAATAGAAAGGCAAATCCTTACTGAGCTCTACTATTTGTTATATTTCTGAGCATTTCATTTCCAAATTTTAAAGTTTTATTACATCTGTTTGGGCTAACATGAATTCTAGTTTTTAGGGTTGGGTGAATAGCTGGGGGATGTTTTTGTAGAAAGAAGAAAGAAAGGGCTATGTTTATTGTTAAAAGGAAAAGCAAAAATCTATATTAGGAAAAAGTACTCTCTCCCTGATTAGTAATTAACAAGGAACTGAAAGGGTGAGTACTGAATACTTTCACTTTATGGTTCTCCATTTTAATTAGGTCAGTGATTTCATCCTTCTGCCAAGTCAACTAAGAACAAAGAAATATATTGTAGTCACATATAAATGAAAAAGTCACGATAACCCTTAAGAACTATAAATACTGCACTATTCAGTTCTTGTCAACTAGTGTGAAAAATACAGAACACTTAATAGTACATCAACATTTCAGTACTAAAACGAAGTTCAATTTAACAATACTTTCTACAAATGGTCATTTAAACAAGATATTTCTATCTCTAGTGTAATTTTAAAATATACAAGCAAAAGTTTAGCTGAAAAAAAAGTCCTGGCATTTCAGTAGTGATAATTTGTTAGGTAGACCCAGACATCCTTTCAGAACTTCTTTCTAACCATGTAACATGAAAATATACTAGAGTAATAAAATCTAAAGCAAAACCCAAACTGCCTAGATGCTGAGGTATAGCCTGGGTAGACAAGGCAATGACATGCATTTCAGAAATACCCAGTCATTCTTCTCAAAAGGCAAATCTGATACTGCAAAAAACACAGCAGTGGCAACCTAAGGAACTAACAAAAAATCATAACCATAAAACTCTAAACATAACTAAGGATATTGCATGGTCTACTGAGCATGGGGGACACTGATTAAAATGTTTGGATCAATACACCACAGATAGGAATGGTCCTTCATAGCTACTCCCAGGTAGCTTTCTTGAAAGCAAACATTTTGAGCTATTTTGAAATAAAGTATTCAAGAGGCACCTTCATGTCCTGGAGCAAAAACTCCCAACCATATAATAAAGTTTACAGACTAAATCTAACCTAAATAAATATTTTTTAATTGTGATCCTAATTTGGAAGGCAATTACCCAAATGGGTGGCTTTTTCCCTGTAGATTCCTTCCCTTCCATTTCTAGTCACACAGCCATAAACACCATATTCCACATTCCAGTGAGTGCTGCCATGTAACATAAAAACACCTCCAGCAGTAAATTACTCCCTTCTTTCTACGAGTTCTGGCATTGGTACTACATTTAAAGAAAAGGTATGCAGATACAACCTTGTAAGAAATAAAAATTATTCAAATGTATGCAAAATGAGACCACTGTAGGAGTCTGCAACACATAAGTTTTTCCTTCTTTCTTTTTCTCTTTTACAAAGCTGAGATGACTTCCAATTCATCATTGCCTATAAGATACCTTTAACTAACTCTTTTCATCAGTTTGATTTTAACTTAATCTAGTTGACAATAAAACCCTTGATTTCAAAATACAGGAAGTTTAACCTGCACTGCATGTTTCCATATAATACAGAAACACCTCTCTCATTTGAGTAAGGTATGTTCTGTAAGAGCAGAAAGGAATATTCTGTGACAACATCTTTTCATATTGTTATACAGCCTTCCCAACCACACACAAAAGTTTTGATTTTCACTGGGGCTTAAAAAAGGTCATTGAAACTTACTCAAATATCTACAAAACTTGCAAGTTTACTTGATACTATATTTGTTAAATACTACCATAAACTCCTTTTATGATAGTCAGTGTTTCCAATTCTATTAAATTTCAGGTTTTGTAACTGGTACTTCATTTGCCTAAAATAACTGTATGTAAAATTCAATTCTCCACAGTAAAAAGACTGCTATTAATCTTAATTATATTCTGTCACTGAACAAAGTTAGGTAATCTGCTGTTCTTGCAGAGCACCATCCTTTTTAAAGGAAATTATTACTCCCTTTAAAGAAAAATACTAGAAAATCCTAGAGAAGGACAGAAAAACCTCAAAGAAAAACTCTATTGGTATTAAAATATGAGTCTTAATCATGACAGAAAATTACATAGAATGGTATATGAAAGCTGTCTCTATATGGGTTGGTATATGAAAGCTGTCTCTATATGGGTTAGGTTTTTAAGAGTGTTTACCATCTTTATATGTGTAAGTTCAATATGAAATGTGTCTTGTTAGGTGGTCACAGACATCTTTTCAGAACTACTGATACTGACTGCATCTTGAGTTACATATGATGTTTTGATTGTATATTAGAACATCAGAATCTATGGATCTGACAATTTTCCATAACCCAGATTTTCAAAAAGACTACATTTTTCAAAAGACAAAATAAAAGGAAATATTACTCAGTTTTTGAGTAAAAAGATATTTTCTCAAGTCCCAGCAGTACTTACCAGAGGGAACAATTCTAAAATTCCTACAAAAAATAGTTATTTTATGGTATTTATTACATTTCTCTCTATAGAACCTAGGATGTAAATAATAAATAAGAATTTTACCCTCTCTATCAAATACAGTAATAATATACAGCACTTCACAATTGCTGCTCTGAGGAGCTCACAGTCTAAATAGATATACTAAGCAAAGAGCAGGGAAGAGTGGTAAAACATAAAAGCATATACAGCAATGACAGCAAACATCACGTGATTAGATGTGAATATTTCCTGGAATATCTAGACTATTTCATATAAGCAATTCACAACACATAAGGTGACAAAGAAATTAATATAATAGAGTGATGATCCGAGAAACCAAGAGCTTTCTTTTCATGAAGTTTTGTTTCAAAAATGGAAATAAATACTGTAAATATTGGAAATACTAAATTAAAAAGTCTGATGAGACAAACACAGTAATACTACATAAAGACCCTCAGTGGTATAACCAAAGACTGCAATTGATATCTCGTGGCTTGTTATTAAGTAAATTAAATGGTTTTAATACTGTAAAGTATAAGGGGATCTTACTTTAAGGAAAAAAAATTAACTTTTTGAAAGACTATCTCAATTCAATATTTTTTCCCATAATATTTACAAATTACCTACTAATTCAGCAAATGTATTACACTATAAAATATTTGCAATAAAAACATTATTTGATTAAATGAATGGCTAACATAAAACATGTCAAATATCCTCCAATGCTTATATATAAACATATGCCTGAATATCTGCTAATCCTGGAAATGTAAGTACCTAACTGCTAAAATGCTTTTATTTGTCATAGGGTAAATTCTAGGTTTTTTAAAATGGGTACATGTCTAGATACTTTTCTAATGACAATCATATTTAGATAGTATTATTTATATTGTCTTTTTTTTTCACGTAGAATCAAGTAAAATTTATGAGCCACAGGTCTAAAAATAAAGACTAAATCATTATGACAATAATTCTGACTATGTCTGTGCAATCAAGTAACATCAATTGCAGTTGGGTTTGTTTTTCCCTATACAGCCTCTGAAAAAAGCCTTTCAGGTGAAAAACAAGCCCTTCTTTATGTACAGACCTTCATAAGACTCTATCTCCTTGTCTCCATTGTCTACGGAAAGTCACAAAAACAAAACAAACAAACAAACAAAAAAAAAAGGAACCAAATCACAGGGGTTAAAAAACAACAAATTTTTTAAAAGATACAATATACATGCTAAGAAGGATTAAAAAAAAGGAGTGTATATGGCCATTTAGACTGATTTTGCACGGCACACCTAGTTACTAGAAACAGAAGTGTGAAAATGTATTTGCTGTCAATAATGCATTTATATACCTTTGTTTCTAAACATTTCAGAAACTATCTCCATCAACCAGTGCTTAAAGAGAAGCACAATTACAGTACCAGTAAAAAGTGAGTAATGAAATAGCTGACATTTCTTATTTTAAAGATTATTACCTGTCTTATTGCTCTTCCTGTTTCAAGATGCAGAGGTTTTATATTAACATTCTGTAATACCCTCCATTGAGCCCACAAGTGATCAGCTAGGTTGCTGACTCCCAAAAGAGCCAGAATTTTGTCACTAGACAACATAGTAAAGATCATTTCCTGTGCCTGTTGAAGTCAATGACAAAACACCTACTGAATTCAAAAGGAACAGGATCATGCTAATAGTCCACCTGATTATTCATGTCAGCCAACAGTATTGTAGATATTAAAACATAATAGAAGAAAACACAGTACAAAATGCAATACCATTACCAAATCCCAGCTCTGTACACAAAAACTCAAGAGATTTCAACTGTAATGGCAAAAGAAAAACAATGAATATAATCGACCTTCATGAACAATTTGGAAATGTCATTAGGGAGAAAACCATCCACTTACTTCTCTCCAACGTCCCCTTTGGTGGGAGCTGCGGTAGCTGCCTGCCCCTTCGCCCTGCTACTGGAGTACTTGATGGACTTGTCTGGACAGACCCAGTTCGAGGATGTGACCTATGAGACACATATCAAAACAAACCACAGCCATTAAATGACAAAGTCATTCTTAAATATCGTCAAGAACTGATAATGTGACTAAGTAGACTTTACATCACTCGGGACCCTTGCAGTCCCACAGGGAAATTATTATCTCTATTCAGAAAAAGACCTGATTAAAAAGAGAAATCTCTCCATTAAAAGGAAGCCAAATTAAGGCTGAGGATGCTTCCATAAGATGCTTTTTCACACAGTCAAGACAGAAAATGTGTTGTGTGCATATTCATGTGCATATGGATAAAATAGCCACATACACATAAATTCATTCACAAGTCAAATTCAATTATCTTTACTCAGCTTATATTTTTTTTAATTACCTTTGAGTTGCAGTGAGATTACATGAATTTGTCTAAACAGAGTAATGAACTGAGGAAAGACAATGATATTTGACCCAATTTTCAGTGGGGATTTGATGATACTAACTCTAACTTTCAGAAAACGAAATAATGTATTCTGCAGTTCTGAAATAGAGAGGCTTTCCTGAACATGATTTAGACCAGAATGTGCTCATCTTTTTATTGTATTATGTTTGTTTAAGCTAAGAATAATGTATAGAAATCCTCAAAATATCAATAAGGGGTACTCAAACAGGAACAGTACAGACTATGGCACAGTAAAATGTAGTCAGAGAAAATGGTGGTTAAAATGATAAGTAATAGACAAAGTTAGTACAGTGCATCTAAAGAAACTTTTATTTTAAAAAAATAGTTTCATTTGATGTTATGATGGTTGTTCCATAAGCAATGTCTGATGAACACAAATAATTTCTCATTCTGTAAGAGAAGAATATGATAGTTATGAGGTGCTTTATGTGGAAACCATCCAGGATTCCTGACAAATGAGAAATCATAAACAAACGTAGTTAAATACTGTTAGCAAGCAATTTGCAATGGTAGTCACACCATTATATCCAGAGTAGAATATAAATAGTGTGTTCACACTGAAAGGGTTAGTATCTATTGCTGCTAGTGATCAGCTAAGGATGAGGCGATACCAATTAGCTACTGGGAAAATAAAATGGTGAGCTGGTGGGGCAGAAGGGGTTTAGTCCGACTGATTTGTCTGTTTCACCTCGGTAAGGCAGGTGAAGGAGGGGCAGATCTTCCAGTCATTAATGAAGGCATCGACCTGATGAGGTTTGAGTCAGGACGCTCTGTGGATCGGGAGCGGGAGTTGGTCCGCTCTAGCACAGGACGTTGCTCTGTTGATCTGGATCTTTGATATGGCTGTCTATCTGCTGCTTCACAATTCCTGAAATGTTAGTCAAAAAGCAGCTCAGTTGAACTTTGACTTTTCTATTAGTTATAAAATATGCTGCATGATACTGGTTTGGAGCAAATAATTTCATTATATACATTTTTAGGGGGAATAAATTTTCTAAGATAATTTATTGATAACATACAGTTTTGACTTGCTCCGTACTCTTGATAAATGGGCTGAAATGTTTCCAATGTCTCCATAATGACTATCCATGCAATAGTCTGTTTCCTGACAATTTCTGGGTTAAAATATTGTTATTTTTTCAATTAATGCATCAACCTGGGAACAAAAGAGGAGCTGACATAATATTAAGTCTCAATAAAGCTAAAAACTCATTAATAGTGCAGTTTAATTGTGCATTTTTTTCATATTAATAGATTTTTTCAGATTTCTTACAGATTGCATTCTCTCTAGGGGTAGCATTCTTGTTTGTAGGAAAGTCCACAATCTAGATGTTATAATTACCATGTAGCACTGTTAACTATTATTAGACTTGGGAATGTCTGTTATATATAGGCTGGTCAATAAGTGATAGATTCATATGTGGTGCTGAGACTGTATCCAGATGAAAATCTACATCATTAGTACTTACAGAGGTTTCAACAACTAGAAAAAAATTGGTTTGAAATTCAAAAATTCTTTTAACCCACAGCCCATGGAACTGTACCAAAACAGCAGTGGAAAAAGTTATTGTTAGAGATGTAATGGGAAGAAATTAGACTGAGTAAAAGAGAATTTCTTGGTCAAGCAGTGATATCTTCTACTATCTTAGGCAATTAATCAGCCCATTACTTTCAGAAATTAATCAAGCCCCACCTTTTTTTCCCAATGCAATTGGTGTTTTCAAGGAGTAATATTTGTTAGCAATATCCTCAAATACACTAAACCAACAGAATTTAAAGAGCAAAATCCATTCCCTAATGGAGCTATTTATTAAAAACACACTCCTCCCAGCTCTCCTGGAGTAACTGAACAGATACAGAATACAAATGGGAAATGTGTACCCTTCAGGACCTTTCCTTGAGTGAAGTCATGCATTTTACAATGAAGTCAGTTAATACAATGAGTGGCTTGATGGTGATTAAGTGTAACAAGAAGTCAAATTTTAATTAATATCAAAAAGGAGAGAGACATACCACAGCTTTATTACGAAGACTTTTATGTTAGTAACAGCATTGTATCTCTAAAAGCATTGAAAAAGAATATAGAAGCTTACTTTGCCAAACATGTTTATAAAACATTCATTAAAAACAGTCTTTTCAGGCCTTCCATTAGGTCATAATTGCACTCCTAAAGCATACAAAGGACTTGCCACAGACAGATTCGGAATAATACCATACATCATGAACCTACATCTATAAGCTCCTAACAAGCAAGCACACCACAGTGAGACACAGAAATGGTAATTATAAGCTGAGGCACTAAAGATTGTAGGAAAAGTACAACGAGCCTGGCACGAAACCACAAAAAGATTACCTCACTTCTTCTTCTATCAGTTCTGTTTCTGAATAGGAAGCTTCATCAGCAAAAACATCCACTGTCTCGCTTCTTTTACATTGTTGACAGACAGAGAAACACAACCTTAGCTTTGATAGGAATGTTGTTTAGTTTAAGTAACTGTTTAAGAGATGTTTCACTGTTATGGAAGGTGAGAAAAATGTCACCCATCTGCATCATGGTAAGAAATGACCATTGAATGCATTCTTTGACTATGGGAATAAATTCCAAGAAAAAATATTCCTAAATTCAACAAAATTACAAAGAAGAATTATATCCAGGTCTTGAAAAACCCACCCTTATCTTGTTTATCCACATATTTAAGAATATTGGTGAGCCCACAGAGACTTTTTTGGGTGTCAGCTTTTCTCCTGTCAGTGAGTAGAGGACTGCTGGAGCACCCTCTACCCTGGATCAGCAGGGTCTGGGCAATATGGTAGGGGTATAACTCTGTACTCCATTCCTTTCTCCTTCCAACAGCCAGTAGGACACAGAGAGGAACAGGTGAGTGGCAACCACATGCTTCTCATAAAGACTTCATGAGGAGTTAAGGTTCCCTTTTGTTACTCTTAAGGCCTCATTCTTTTTAGCTCTATAGGTATAAAAAGTAGTTTTTAGGCTATTAGGAGTCTGACCTATTGCCTGATTAGGAGGAAGAAGGCGTTTTTACCATTGGGATCAATACCAATGGCTTAGCGGGCAGGTTTTGTGTTCTGCAAAACATCATGGAGCAACTGCAGCTAAACAGATAAAGGCCACAAAAATGTCACACTCAGCAGCTAATATAGAGTTTGCAACAATCTCCAGTGGGCATTTCCTTCAAGTCCAAAAACAACTGGGAGTTCCCCAGAGTGAAGGAGAGGGTGGCTTTTGGCAGTAAGCCTCTGAAGCTGTGGCAATGCTGTTTTGTAGACTGAAGGATTTGAAGACTAAGCTGAGTCCTGAGGTCAAACTGATTGTCACCCTCAGGTTCCAGGCTACAATCCTCTCACTACAGCAAATAGAGGGCTATTTCAAGGGGACAATCTTCCACTTGAAAGCTTCACAGTTGGGGTTTTACATCATACACATACGAAGAGCAATTCAAAAAATAATTTTACTCTCTAGCCTTCATCCTTACTTATTCTTTTATCCTTTGAACAGTAAACACACATACTACATGATCCCAGTCTTCAGCAACTGTCCCTTCTATAGGAAAATTATCATTCATATCTATCATATGTTTGTGCAATGAAACTCCTGCCCTACCACTCTAAACAATTATGCATGAATATCAAAATCTAGCCATAGTTATGGGAGGAAGTTAAATTTAAAATAGAAATTTCTAACTTTTCAGATATCATTCTTAAAGACTTATGCTTACAAATCATCTAGATGAAACTTTCTTCTTTTTTCATTACAAATTGTATCATATGAATTACTGATTTTTAAAGAGGGAAATATGGTAGTCTTAGTTAAATTATTCAACATCCATATAATATTTTAAGGCACACTATCACTGTTTACCTTTGCTAACAGACTTTTCATTCTGAAAATACAGTTAATGAAATGTCAAATAATGACCTTCTCCATCTAGTACTGACTATTGTAGAACCCTTCTACTTTTGCTAGGGAAGACAGGCATGGTAGATGGCTAATTTCCATGCCAAAGTCTGCAAGACTTGCAAGCATAGCTCTCCCTTGCTCTGAGGAAATGGTACAGCAGTGTTTGCTTCTAAACCAAGAAAGCCAACCACTATGAGACAGTCTGAGCTCTCTGTAAGTCACAACACAGAAAGCTCTGTGAGTATTTACAGTCTTGTTCCAAACCCATAAAATATTAGAACTAGAATCTGATATCATTTAGGTACCACTGTAAACTCTGGTTGCTGTTGTACCTAAACAAAGGTGTTACCAAGTTTTATTTTATATATTGATTTATTATACATATATATTGCAAATTTTAAAAGTGACCTCTGTTCCCAGTGCAGTAAATAATACTTTCTGATTTTTAATTTTTCAGATTTGTTACATTTTTAAAAAATAAAAATAATTTCCAACAATTTTTTTCCCCAAAATGACTGAAAACAATTTATTTAAAAGCCCATGTCAATTTTTTACTCTGTAAAAATGATGAGATCATGCCAATCACCATTTTAGCATTAAGTTTTTCTTGTAACAAAAAACTGAAGAAATAAAAATAGAATTGGTGTAGGTTTACAGTGCACTACAATTCAGCTCCTAGTGCATCTTTTTCATCTAGAAACACTGAACAGAACAAGAAAAATACAACACCACACCTTCTAAGTATCATAATTTCAAACTCCAGCTAATATACAATGGCAATACCTGTCAGTGTCTGTGGATGGCTGCTGGATTTCAATCCTTGGACATGTTATTCTTCTACTAGCTATAGGAACTTTGCTGTTTAGTCACAGACACAAGATCCTCTGTTAGCATAACATAGATAAGCATGTCTAAAACCAAATGAGATTTCTAGTACCAAAAAAACTTAAATTTGAGTCATAAATATTGCAATGAAAAATGGGAAAGAGCTGTCAAATCTCTAAAAAACCTGGTGATGAGATACGTCAGCAAATAAATTATCTACACTCATAAAGGTAAACTCATCTGCACTCATGAAGGAACTTAATATAAAATCATGTGCTGATATAGTTTTTAAAAGACAGGAATGTAAAGATTTTAGGTACTCTGGTTTAAAAAAAAAAGGTAAAGGAAGATATTTTGGTTGTTGTAATATTGTATAATGTTTTTATATATGTTGTACATATATATATATATATATATATATATATATATATACACACGCATCCATATGCTGACATGATCTGGTCATATACGTATTACCCTGTGGTATATGTGATAACTACCAGTATATCTCCATGCCAGTGGCAGGCATGATGGAACTGCCACATGACAGAGTCTGAACTATTCTGCTAACTCAGCTAAGCAGACAAAGCAGGGAACTCTGCTGTGATCCCAGGCACGTTGTTCTCCACACTCCTGTGCTCTGCTGCAGCACAGAAATGCAGCAGCTCACAGCTTGCTCAGGTATCTGGGCCTGACACTGCAGCACTTCATGGCTGTTGTCAATACAGCTGACCATGCTAACACATGGCATGGTGCAATTATGAAAATGCTTAAGGAAAGCATATGCCTCTACACCTGTTGAGATTTACTCTCCAAAATATGTGTCATCACTGATATATTTGCTGAGGAATAGCAAGTCATGCTTCACATAGGGAGTTGAAGCAAGCAATGTTTCTTCCAACCCAAATTATTATATGATTCTGTGGATGCAGTTAGGAGTATATGCTAGCTTTACAATCAAATATCAATAAAACCAATAAGCAATGTAAATCCTTGGAAGACTCAAATGATGTGCATTTCAAATTATTTTAATCTGCAAGAAAGTTGTAGAGTGTTTTTACTTCCTTGTTTCTGGTACTTGCAATGTACCTTTTCACTTATATAATCAGCTGCCTTATATAGTG